TTACATAAGGAGGATGCCCAGCGTAGCCGAGCATTACAAAAGAAGGAGGAGAGCCCGGCGTTAGCTGGGCGATCCGACTGGTCTTACTGATAAAGTAGTAACTTGGTGGGTCGGTTTGTCGGAATGTCCGTCTGTATGATTGCGATAAGGGTAGTTATATGGAGAACCCAGCTCTATTCCACATTTCTTTTGTATATATAAAGCAGTAGCTTCTTGGGTAGGTCAATGGAGTAGAGTGAGTAATGTTGGTTGGCGTGAGCAATGTGGAGTGGGCACCTTAAATCTGTGATTTCGATCTTCACTGGCTTCGTGCTATGTATGCCTATACAATAATGGAAGGTGATAATGCAGTTGTGAGAATTTCGCTTTTTTTAAACATTGAGCGTCAAAGCCCATATAAAGAGGTTAGCCCATAATTGCGCTCAAGAACGTTTCTTAGCAGAGAACATACAGTTTTTTGCCTGAGCTTAAGAAGCAGAGGTGGTGAGTCTATTGCATATTCAATTCACACCCCATTCTAGCTTTTTGAACGAGGTAATCATCTCATCTCCAATCCAACGCCCCTCCCCTCCTGAGGCTTGAATAAAAACTGTATTCTCCTGCTTAGAATTGTCTCCCAGCACAGGTAAGGAAGGCTCCCCCACCTCTGCACTCATGAACTCAGTATCGATAAAATCGATACCCTCTCACTACATTTTTTAACTTCTTTGTAAAAGTAAGAAATTAGGCCCGGCGTAGCATTCTTCCTGCGCTGTTATATCATAGAACCCATCAGTACGCCCTACTTGGGCAGCGAATTACTGGGTTCATGAGATAAGTTGAAGCTACCGCACTTATGCTTAGCTTCACCTCTATTCGCACCTACATTGGCTTTCAAGTACAAATAGGTTCCTTGAGGTATAATGCAAAGTGCTTCCACGCTTCCATGTCTAGGAAGCGTTTAAAAGTGAAGAAAAACATGATACAAGTGTGAATATCTTAGATCCTGAAATCANNTGAGGCTTCTCTCGATCGGTCTTACCCAACCCTGCTGTAATAGGGCTTTCGCCTGAGTACAGTTAGTTAGTCAAGTTGTCATGTAGTGCACAAGCAGCTTAGTTATTGAAGGCGGCCCGAATCGCCTCAAAGACACCCTCCAGTCATCTAAATATAAGCATGTGGCTGAGCCGATGTGAAGGATACCAATGGCACCGGCAGGGTATCTACACATGTATGCATGGTTGCACTTGCGGCATGCAGAAGGTGCAAGATAATCAGCTCAGTAGAAACAGGGAGCCCGTCCCCACAATTTGACTGCGTCTCTGGACAAGTACCTATGACTGTTGTTCCGCGATTTACTCCCCATCCACCCACCCCGTATGAGAGCTGCGAATGGGTTCGGTAGTAATTGATATCAATCGAAAGTAATTGATAAGGAGGAGCCGCTCGGATCCTTATGCCTTTCTGGTTGATAGCAAAAACTAGACACTTGTAGGTGATGTGAGAGTAAAATAATCGTAGATGATTGGTGAAAAGAGCTGATAACAGCTGATAGGACCTGATAAGGAGCCTTGGAAATAAGGAGTCACTGATTTGGAGTCTCCCCTGTCAACGGCTGTATAGGTGGCATGAGACGTGACGAGATTGTGGATGACATGTGATTTAATAGTGGCGGATAATTAGTCGTAAAAGGCAAGAACTGTTAGGTTCTTGGCAACTTTGTAGCTGATGTGGGGCTTAAAGGCGTGATCGTAGAAAAACGAATGATAAGGACTGATAAGTGATGTAGAAGGTGAGAGCCATCGAGTCTGTTGCGTTCTNGACGAGATTGTGGATGACATGTGATTTAATAGTGGCGGATAATTAGTCGTAAAAGGCAAGAACTGTTAGGTTCTTGGCAACTTTGTGGGTGATGTGGGACATGAAGGCGTGATCGTAGAATAACGAATGATAAGGACTGATAAGTGATGTAGAAGGTGAGAGCCATCGAGTCTGTTGCGTTCTCGCAGAGAGATTTGGAGTGTGATTGGAGCTCATAAGGAGCTCTGTACACGGCAAAAGTCACGTAGTCGATCGCGCCAGGAGAATAATCGGTGGAACTCGACATCATGGGCAGTGGCGATGGATTTTGGTGGTGTGTTGGACGGTTGGTTACAGAGAACAATAACAACTGATAAGTGGTGATAATTGCCACGACATCACTTCCTCTTTTTGTATGGCTGCGCAGCGTTGATATATCATTGTGTGATATATAGTATGACTGCATCGGAGACAGCAAATGATAAGAGTTGGTCAAAGTTGATAAAGATTGGCAAGGAATCATGGACTTCTCGTTTCTAACTCTTTTGGTACATGTGATGCAGATTCGGCCTATTTTTCATAAGATAAGATGGTACAATAGAGCATATCGGCAAGAATCAAATCAGAAGTGCAGTTATAAGGACCGATCAAAGTCTGAAACATATAACGAGGACCGAATGTGGTTTGCTCTGTGCTATTAGATCACGATGATTGCTCCTCGGGGCTTGCGACTCAATGAGGGACAACGAAGTCTTTCCATTCCGGTATTAGTGGTCAATATCCGGTTAACAGTAATCCGAAGTCTTTGCCAGTGATTTAAATGCACGGTGCGTCTCATTCTGATACATGATAAATTTATGTGCAAGATTTACTATGCAGCGCATCAACAAAATAAAGGCGCGGTCATCTGATATAATCGTCTCTGCACTAATTATGATTCAAAGATACCCCGGTTATCATCAATGGTGAACGCAGAGTTTCTTGAAAAACTATTCGGGTTATTTCCAACGATTCCTCAGAAGCAGCAACAGTAACGTACTTCGGAGCGCAGGCTTCCCTCTCCAGTACACACTCACTCACGGACCACTCGGATTGCAGGCCAAGAAGTTCTTAAGACCACTTAAGGCAGGGATACAGTTGGGAACATCGGCTGAGCGCCAATGATGAGTTTCCTCCATTCGTGAGCAAATATGCGAGTGTTTCTAAGTAGCGTTCCTGGAATAATTTTTGACCCTTAGCAGCACTTTTTCAGAAATGTCCCTCATGAAAATGTTCCGAACAACTTTCATACTTTTCTAAACAAAAATAAGTGATATCGCTCTGACGGCACCGATTCCTGCCAGAACAATCATACAAGAGGAAAATGGCTACGAGAAGCGGTCTGACCCTCCTCATCGGCTTCGACACGTGAGAAATGCATACGTGTACTCTGAACGTTCTTCCACACTGAACACCCTTTTGTTAGAAAAGAAGTGTCCATGCGCGTGCCGCGTGCAAGTAGGGCATAGCATTTGTGCTTCCTTTTAAACTTCTTATCAAATACACTATCGAAATCCATCTTCACATATTCAATTCGGCAGTAATTTTTATCATGTTTCCGCAGGGTTCTTATCGTAATTACTGCGATTGTATTCGGAAGAGGATCGTAATCGAGACAAGACAAACGTATCAAAGCTAGTCGTTTATCTAACCATGATTCGATAGGCTTCATGCGGGAAATGTCGAAATGACGAGCGATCCCGAAAAATGCGGAGTATTGACGAATTTAGAGCACCGAAGCATATATATGTGCTGAGGTACACCATAAACACAAAGGGAAGCGCAGATTTGGGAAACCAACCCTAACTTGCACTACTTGCAGATTTCTATAAAGTTATCACCAATGAATAACAGAACTTCTCCCCGAGTTCCCACGGCCTACGGCAGTGGTTCCGCGGCGACTCTCCATACCTTCCATTGGGGATTCAAATCTTTCCCTTCATAGCGCGCAATGGCGTGCGGCGAGCGTGACACGCCGGGGGAAGATATCAGACTCGTCACCAATACTAATTATGGAGCACCCTGTATATACCACTGCTGATCCATATTACCGTTTAGTTAAGAACTTTGCTTTTTTTTCAGAAGAACCGTTGCATAGTGTTTTTCACGAAAAATGAGCTCTTCTTGAATATTGTATGTCTTCCATTATTGGTTTGACATTTAATCTAATAAGGTTTTTGATGAAAATCGTGGAACATATTTCAAGTTTTGCCTCTGGAGTCATGGCTTTAGTTTTCAGTTGCAAAGTTCTGATCAGCTTTAGGTCTCTTTTAGAGATAAAATTCAGCGAAACTAAATAATGTTCCTCACAGGTTTGGTAGTATACGAAATCACAGGAAATCGTTGTTCGAATTTCCTTGACATAGCTCCGATATTTTCGAAATGATAGTTTTTTTTTTCAGACCGCACCGAAAGTGGAAAAGAAGGAAAGCAAGCTAAATGTCGTGCCTTCCAACGAAAGATTGTTCACTAACCTTGAAAAAAAGTCATCGAGTTCACGTCTTGCAAAAAAAGGAGTATCGAAGTTAGGTTCAAGGAAGAGCTATAAGAAACCCAGCGCCGAAGGGGCAAAGCTCACTAGTAAAAAAGAAAGCGAAAACAAAACCGAGCGTGCAGTCTTTGCCCGACAACAGGGAAGCGGTAAATCATTCGAAGCCGAACGAAAAGGAAGTAGCGAGCATGTAGGTTCAGAAAAATTGGGAAAGAAACAAGATGTTGCAGAAACTGACGACAAAATTAATAAATTAAGAGAATTAGTTGCTAAAAAGAAAGAGTTTCAAGCGAGGAAGGGGACCTCCGAACCTGTGGAGTCCATGAGTGTCAAGGAGGGAAGAAGAACAGTGGTATCTGGGCGGGAAACAGCTTCCAGCAGAGAGAAACGTCGAAGGAAGACGGGTAAATGCGTCATCGATGATCTACAAACAGGTATCTCTCTGAAGAAAAAACATTCTAAAGAGAAATTATCTCGAGAAAAATCAATAAGATCTACAAGGTCCAAGCGGAGGTCACGTTCATTCAGCCCAATCGAACAAACTCAAGAAGAGCTCTCCAAAAGGCCGACACGTTTGAAGAAGTCGTCGTCCTGCACTTCATTGATAGTAAAGTTGAAAAAGAAACATCACAGCAAAGAAAAATCGAAGGCTGGTGAAGGGCGAGAGATCCCTAACGTAGAAATTCCCGAAATGTACAAAAAACAGTTCAAGAAAAAGCCACAGGAGCATCACTTGCCGAGGAACGGTGAAGAACAAAAGTTCGTTTTGCCGCCCGTTAATGGTAAACAGAGTTCAGATTCCACCATTGACTATTGGACCTGTCCGGATGGGAAGAAGGCAAAATCCTTTGAGATCGGCGAAATCACTTCAGAAGGAGAGGCAGACTACGGTGACGGGAAGTTGCCACCTGCCTTAGCGCAGCGAACTAATCAAACGAAATCTTCATCGGCTCCTGTAAGTCAGACCCTCCGGACTGTCACCGCACCAGGACCAACAGACAGGCCAGCACCAGCACACGCACCACAAATTTATGGTGTGGCTGATCGTCCTCAAATACTACAGCCTGCATTTACTCAGAGTGAGTTTGTTTCTCAACAAAGCAATAACAAAAACAACAAAGCTGAGCCGTAATCAAAATTCTCAAAAAAGTAGTTTTGCATACGAAAGGAAGACGGTTCCATAAATCGCAGTGGTTTCCTTTTTCTCATCCCTATGCCAGTTCAAACTTGGTTTCTCAAAAATCATTCACTTTGAATTGGGCGAGAATCCGCGACTCCTTCATCACCTTGTACTGCGAAAACCAACATTTGAGCCCCTGTCTAACAATAAGGTCAGAAAAGCAAATAGGAGTGTGGTGACCTCTTTACCGTGCTATTCCAGAGTGAACCACGATATTATACTTCCATTTCACAGGACGCAGAGCTCTACGATAGTTGCGGATCGTAGCCTACTGTTAGTATGAACTAATATCGCCGCGGTGATATAATCGTCGCGTCGCGGCAAGAGAGACGCCGCGCGCGAAGGAATGTAGCAGAATGTAGCAGCAAGTAAGAAATACGGCAATGGAAGAACTAACATTAGAATCATGCTAAAAGTGATAATCGCACAGCGATCGAGCTGTATTAGAACGCTAGAGCCGTAATAACGGCGACACGAAGTTCACGACAGCTGCGTGCAGCGAATCGATTACACAAAACCGTTCCTATTATCCGTCTCCCTTTCTGTCAGCATCCGTTGAGACCGAATTCTGAGTTCTCATTCCCAGTAGCTCTACTACACAGAAGTGTTTGGTAATGATCGCCCGGTCAATCACACCACAAATAGATATTGCTGACGATTGACTAGTGAGAGAAAAAACGATATATAAGCGTTGCCAGTAACACCGTCTACTGACTTAAGAGACCTAGAGGTATCCTGCTACTCTGGCGGACGATGTGGGGGAAGATGAGATCGTAGGTACTGAGTGACCTGAACTGGCTACAAGTGTCAATGGCTGTTAGCAGTCATAGAAGGCGAGAGCCGCTAAGCTCTATTGCTAAGGGTTGAGGCTCAACAAGGGTTGACGTATTCTCTTTATTACGATGTGGAGTTCTACCCAGTCTACACGATCATAAGCGATCTGAAAGTCTAAGCCGATGATCATTTAAGGTGGTCTGCTGACTTGTCGGTGTATGTGTGTGTCGGTGTGTTTGTGCCGATGTGTGTGGACGTGGATATGTGTATGGTATGGTACGTTTGTGTTTGTATGTGTCTGTCGGTGTGTGTGCAATACGTGACATTCATAGTTCTTGCTGCTTTGAACCTAGAGCGTTAATTAGATGCACAAGTGGGCTTCCTTGGAATTTGCATAGTTACCAAGATAAGAATCCCTATCTCTTCAAGTTGTGAAGGCTAATTCAGTGCCACTTGTAATCGTTCTCATGCAGAAGGCGGAAAGGCAGAGAAACTTCTTGCGATACCAATAATGATCTCACGGAAGGCTATCAAACGGTACGGAGAAGCAGAGTCAATGGAAGGCAAACCTAGAAGTGATAGAAAATCGTGTTTCCAGAAATAGTGCTATTAAAATAGTCCGTTTGCGCATCGACCGCCATCTTGGCATAACCTTGAAGAAGTTGTGGATGGGGCGGGCTGTCATGCTGGAGTTTCATTGCTATCCCTATCGAAGACAAAAATGTCGCTTTTTTTCTGATTTCAGTTGACATTGTAGGGCCAAAGAATTGGGAAGGTTGCTCACTCACTCGACACGCATCCTCCGTTGTTTTCCACGGGAAAAGTTTCCGCAAGAAAGCCAATTCCGATAAACAAAAGAATTGGGTTTTGTCCAGAAGAATCAAAAGTGTAATCTCTCACGGGAAAGTTGCTATCAGATCAGCAAATTGATGGTTTTCGTGGGAGTTGCGGGCAATGGGAAAATTGGTTTCGTCAGAGCTGACGTGAAAACTGGGAAATGGGTGGACTTCGAAAGCATACTGATGGGCGTACTGAGGCATTGATCCGTCACCGCTTCCTGAAACTTTTCGCGGCATTTCGTAGTCCAAGGGTGGTGTCGAAGCCACCTGCCCGACTTCATCAGCAGAAAAGAATGGATATTCTGTTCCCAGATCTTAACTCATAGGGTTCATTATCCCAATTTAGAGTCATAAAATTAAGACCCAAGAACGGCTGGCAAAAAATGGAGGGATACCTACCTGCGTGCCTCATGGAAGGAGTTCATGGCGCAAACCTCGTCTTCTATGAGAGGGGTCCGGTTCTCTCACCTACGATAAGTGTTTCCATTCTGCCGCCTGTACTCCTGCCAGGTTTGAACGCCCTAGGGCCAAATTGATAATTTTGGAGCGAAACCCCGCCTTTAAGGGCGGAGTCCTTCCACCCACCATACATGTTCCCATCCTGCCCCATTTACTACTACTAAATTTGAACGCTCTAGGTCTACGGGGACTGGAGTTATGGATTTCCGGTCGGACACACACACCGACACACACACACACAAACACACAGATTAGAGAATTATATAAAGTAGGATGATACGAGCAAACGTGCAGATAGATTTCTTTGTTATTAACAGCCAAGAAGCTTTAGTTCTATTGCAATGAATAGGCGCCAATAACTTTATCCACCCTCTGTATTACGAACTGTGAAAAGAAGCTGAGCTTCGGAGCTGGTCAATATTGTTTTCACAGCCCAAGCTGGTTGAAAATATGCGAAATCTAGCACGAACCGAACTCAATGAAGTTGACCTATGATGGCAGTAGCCGGCTGCCAAGTGATACAAAAATCGGATGAGAACTTCCATAATGACTGCTAGTTAACGGTAAAAACTAATAATGTCGGCAAAGAATGATGAGAGTCAAAACCTGCAAGAATGACGAGATCTTTGTGATAACCTTCCCATAGTAGGCTCACGCCGACACCTCTCAAACGCTATAGGGCCAATGGGTTTCAAGTTCAACTTCCTCCCGGAGTCATTAACATAAAATCTCATTCTTCCTGGAATTCTCAAATAACATGGAGTCTCTGTAAACTAATGTAGGTCAGTGGTGAATCTGTCTCATTGAGCATTGGCATTTTAGTAATCAATTGTCAACAACACTAGTAAGCCTAGAAACAGCACAGATGGAAACAGTGTAAGACGAAAATACTGTCGTACGTGCACCGTTCCTCCAGGCTTTAACGGCCAACTCAACTGATGGGGTGCTGGATCGAATAACTGATCAAAATCCAGCAAGTTCCCGACAACTGTTCATAATGATTATAAAGTCCAAGCGAAGCCGATTGAGGAAAATTACATTTTCAGGTTCTACTTCGAATCACCACCCTGTAAAGAGTTCTACTTCGAGCTACCACACTGTAAAGAGTTCTACTTCGAGCTACCACACTGTAAAGAAGGTAGGTGATAATACCAGCACCACCCAACAAGGCAAAAAAGAAGACATTTGCCCAGAAAGGGCGTTCCTTGTAATCTCTGGCTTTAATGCAAAATTTTTGACGCGGATGTGGAAGGAGGAAAGCTCCTACTACTGCTTCACCTCACTATATTCATCAACTTTCATTCCATCGAAGAAAGATAACTGGCTTTGCTAGGATGGGTAAGGTCGAAATCTGCTGTGGGTGAAATTTGCATGATTTCGCAGGTAATGTGAGTACACATGTGGCGAGCTCTTCCTAACTCTGTGTTTTTGGAGTTGCTTTGCCGGTCTGTAGCAAGTCTTCGCTCGATACGAGCTGATTGCGATATCTTGAGCGAGAATTCCCGGAAGAACAGGGCGCTTTAGCATCACTCTTGACTCGTACAGTTTAGGTTATACCGAGTGACGTTGGTAACTTACATTTCGAAGCTTTTACGAATGGTCCTTTCGAAGGAAAATCCTCCCGTGCTCTCCTTCGAGAAATTAATTAGATTAATCGCCCTGTATGATAGTATTCTCTCTATTAATAATCGGGATAAAATAGTTCCCGCCCGTTCTCAACTTCAATGATGAGTAACGAATTCCCTTCTCTTTTCTGAGGTGTTTTTCGATTACAGATAATAATAACTGTTTACAGACAGGTAGCTGCGACGTTACTCCCAGCAGCCAACGGTGAGAAGTGGACTCATTTTGGAATAACGCAATCGAAGAACTTAAAGAAGATTTCCGTTATCTTGAACACTTGCCTCAAAAACTACGATTAGAATTTCAAATAAACCTACCAAAGAAATAAATTTCGCTTTGTGGATCTTTACAATTTTGTATTTTAGGAGTAATCATCTGAAGTCAGCCGCTTTCGTTAGTATTGTTATTCTTGTTTATACATATACCGGTCGGATCGCCCGGCTAACGCCAGGCTCTCCTCCTTCTTATGGGTTCGCCCGGCTACGCCGGGCGCTTTCCCTTCTTGTGAGAAATTTGCTATGTGTAAATAACATTTCGTATTCTCCTTTTCCTTCGAAAGCTCTACACCCTCAGTATCAGCTCCGAATTGGGAGCGATTTTTTTTTCTGTAAACCATCTTAGCTGTGTTCGAATAGAACATCGTATAGTATGAAAAGGCGATTATTCAGAGAAAAAAGAAAGATGCGT